ATTCTGTGGTTTACTGGTAACCAGTGTAGGGATCTAAGAACAGGAGTGATGTGCTCCGTTCTCCTGGTTCTTGTTAAGACTCTAGCAGCAGCGTTCTGAACAAGCTGCAGTTGCTTCACAGCTTTTGGGAAGACCATTTAGGAGACCACTGCAGTAGTCCAGCCGACTAGAAATAAAAGCATGAATGAGTTTCTCTAAGTCTGGTCTGGACACGAGACCTCTGACCATATATAGGCTGCACAGTGGTGCAGTGGTTAGAGCCGTTGCCTTGCAGCAAGAAGGTCCTGGGTTTGCTTCCCGGCCTGGGATCTTTCTGCATGGAGTTTGCATGTTCTCCCTGTGCATGCGTGGGTTCTCTCCGGGTTCTCCGGCTTCCTCCCACAGTCCAAAAACATGACTGTCAGGTTGGTCTGTCTAAATTTGTCCTTAGGTGTTTGTTTGTGCATATATATATATATATATATATATATATATATATATATATATATATATATATATATATATATATATATATATATATATATATATATATAACTGATCTTTTCTGTTTACCTTTATAAGACCTCTCCCCTAGACGCCATCACAACCATGTTCCAGCTGTTAGAGACAGAGTTTGGCCACCTACAGATACATTTTACTGTCATCAGCTTTTCCAACTCTTCCATGATTGGTGAGCTGACCAGAGGAAAGTGTCATCTTACTTCATTTCCAGTTTGTCAGACGATGTTAGTCAGATTTTTAGTCTGCGGACCCTGAAACCACATCGCCCATCCACATCACCAATCACTTTAGCCCATCCATCAATAATTCTTATGCAAATAAAAATGGAAATAGGACACATGTAGAAAAGGCATGGATTCCTGTTTAACGTGACCAGTGTGTTCAGTTTAACAAAGCAAGTCTGAACACAAAAGCAAGCAGGAGGAGGCTGCATGCTTGCTGGAGCGTTATGTAAGACCCAAAGGGGGTTCTTCAGGTCAGAAGTTACCACCTTCTCAGCAGCCTTTTTAAAAGCATAAAGATCCCATTATTTCCTGTTTGAAATAGTTTACGTCTATCCGGTGAGCCTTCACCAGCGGTGCAGCCATGACCTGGGAGGCCGTCCATTAAGAGTTAATGGATTCACTTTCACAAAAGGAGCTTAAAGCCACCGTTCTCAGAGCTCCGTCTCTGTGATAAAAATAGAAACGCTGCAGAATGGACAGATGAAATTCACAGTCCTCCAAATATCTGTCGCACAACCTGGCCACCTATAGACGACCCACTTTCCTCCAAGCATGAGGAATGAAGCAATGGCACAAATTCCCTCGGCGTCCCCAGACGCCGTGATTAAATCTCATGCACTTATAATTATTGTTGTCCCCACATCGCTGCCCGAATGCCGTCCTATCACGAGAAAATCTAGCATAGCACGAGAAACCACGCTGCCGCTGCGTCTAATCTAATCTGGGAGGGAGCCAGCGTGAACAATTATCAGAAAATGGTTCCAAACAACTGCAGCTTATTTCAGTAGTCATCAGAGCGGCGGGCTCCAGCCGTGTGTGTGTGTGTGTGTGTGTGTGTGTGTGTGTATGTGTGTGTGTGTGTGTGTGTGTGCATGCGTGCGTGCGTGCGTGCGTGTGTGTGTGTGTGTGTGTGTGTGTGTGTTCGGAAGCCTCTGTGTGACTTTTACCAAACACTTGTCGGGTATTTATTTTCCAGATCGCCAGACGAGAGAGCGCCTGACTATGAGCACACACACTTCAAATACTTCCTAGAAATGAACAAGGAAGGCAGCGAGAACTTGGAATGATCATCTTCAGTTATATAACAGCTGTGGAAATGTGTGTTCCTCCTCAAGCTGGAACAGAAGTTGCTTCTGTTTCGGGGAGGCGAGAGATTTCACTGATTGTTCCACATTTTTACTTTTCCAGAACTTTCAGTGTCGTAATAAACTCCTTTCATGGAATTTCTTTATTCTACAAAGAAACATTTAAGTGACCACTAAGCCCCCCCCCCCGTGAGGTTATGAAACAGGCTGTCACGTATTAGCTGCCTTATGCTAACAGGTGCTAGTAATGCTAACATGTTGCTGCAGTGAAATTCAAGGGGCAGCTTCTTTTGGAGGATCCATCCCACCCAGTCCATGTAGGACGCGTCCTTCCTTGACCACTAAGATGGGACGTGTCAGCTGTATTTGGATGGTCCAGCCTCCACATAGCTACCGTTACTATGCTAGACATAAATGAAACCCAAACTTAGCAATAATACATGAAGAAATACACAACACGTCATACTAGCTTGTTTCTGAGTATTTTTCTTATTATTTTGGATGAAAAAAAATGCTAATTAAATAAGTCTGCCTTATGCTAACATAACCGCTCTAAGGTGGTACTTTCCTTACTGCCAGATAATGATATGCTATCATTCCAACTGTAATCCTCTCCATCTTCATCATCTCCTGTTTGGCCTGTGAGGACTATTCTGGGATAGCCTTTGCCAATAAGCGTAGACCAGACCCATCCTTGATAATTCTGAGGGAACGAGGACGCGTTTTGAGTTTGGACAGCCTTTGTGCTTCGCTGAGATGTAACAGGCCTTAAAATGTGCACTCGGATAGCCTGGCAAGTCATTCTATTAATGTGAATGTTTGGGATTAAATGAATCATTGAATGATTTGGTTCATTTTTTCCTGATTTAAACCGTCGTTAGATGTGCACTCCACAGTCTGAACACATTTGACTGGAGCACTGTGTGGTGGTCCGGGCGCTGTGGAGGAAAATAGCGAAACCAGCAGACAGAAACCGTTGCAAAAGGCAGAATTGGTCCAAAGTTTGGGAGCAGGAGTTAAACTACGGGCAGATTAGCTAATGCTAAGCTAGCGTGTAGCATGCTCACGATCAGGCGGAGGTCAGAAAAAACGTGACGGTTGTGAACGACTAAACTCTACGTTTATGTGTGGATGGCAGCGGCGGCGTGGAGCAGAACCGCTGAGTCAGGTCGTTGCTGCTGAGAGTCAGCGACTCGAGTCTGCTCCACACACCGCAGCGGGGCTATGGCTAGCCGTTGTAGCATGTAATTCACAAACACTTCTGTATGTGAATGCAACTTAGACTGGATTATGTTGCCAACCCGTACGTAACGAAATAGATGCCACATTACATGGTTACTGCAGAAATTACACGTTAGCATTTCCAGTAGCTTACTGCTGAACATGTTAATGAAGTAATTCAATTCTACTGATCATGTTTGATTTTATTTACATATGTTTAGACAAGGATGAATGATATTAAACCAAATATTTAAACGGAAGATAAGTCAAAGTTATTTATTATAAACATCAGCTGGGAAAGAAGGAACCCGACGACACCAATTTATTATATTGTTGAACCTTTTATAATTGTGTTGTTTTATTTTATATTTTTAGCAGCAGACCATAATCTTCTTTCACTTGAAACGCCGTCAAATAGAATATTCAGTGAATCGATGGAGGTTTGGATAAAATATTCACATACTAAAATATTCAAAGCCCTAGCGAATAAAAGGTCTGGCCACAACCCATAGAGAGCAGTTGTGGGGCGGGGCCTGCGGTTGTCTTTTAAACCGCCTTTGCATGCTATAAAATAAAGGACTTAAGTTCCTCCATCTGCTCTTGACTCGAAGAAAAGCCCAAGTCTAAATATGGATGCCAAAGCCCTTTCACACAGGTCAACGCCATCTTTGTTGTTTTGCGCCGTCTCATTACCCACCCACCAAAGCCACAGAGCGCTGTGATTGGTGTAACACAAAACTGCTCAGACCAATGGTAGACCTGCCGAGGCTCCTGTGGAGCGTGGCTAGACCGACCTGCAGAGCTAAATCTTTGCTCCGGCTCGTCAGAAACAATCGTGGATTTAACGGAGAGCTCAGCGAGTTCGGATGTACTTTTTGGTGAGACCCAAACACGGAGCACGACTGTTGGGACACGCAGCCAATCTAGTAACACCCATGTGTCTCTCGATGGGAAACGAGAACGTAAGCATCACCGCATTAACGAAGAAATGGCTTTCCTGTCGGCGGTGAGGCTCGTAACTCTTGACATGGATTGGATGAATCGATGACTGAGTGCTGTGTGCTGACTTTCGTATAAAGAGGACGTGGAGCTACGGAGCACGCTTGGGGGATGATGGGAGGTGGAGTAGCTAACACGGCGACTGTCTGTCTACATCTCTAGTATTGGAGATCTCTGCGTAAATCGTAGCATTCGTAGCATTGCTTGCTTCCAGTTTGTGAGTAAAGCAGAGTGTCGCATCTAAAACAGTCCGCGTAGAAACCTTCTCTATGGTCCATCTTTCTGAGAACGTGACGGGTCTATTCATCTGCTTTCATCACATTCAAATCCACCATTATTTATATCGTTATATCGCCCGTAGAGTAAAGCTGTCTCTAAAGGCCAAATCCACGTCGGTGTTTAATATGTGGGCAGAACTTTGATTATTAGATCGTCCAGGAAACCAAAAAGCATTTCCCAGAATCTTTTTGGACATCATGAACGGTTCCTGATTGGTGCAGCTGCGGCGGGTGGTGTGATTCAACAGTCAGAAGGAGACAGCACGCCCGAACACCCAGCAGCAAGTAGGCGGCATTTCCTTAAAGCAAACCATGATGGTTCTGCTGGGATTTCATTGATGGTGAACTTTGGATATTCATGGTGACATTTTTCTGACCAAATGGGAGAAATAGCTGCTCAGATATAAGAAAATGCACAAGTATAACCACAACAATCATTTATAAGCCGAACAGACAAACAATCAACAGGATCAACAGTCTAAATATATCATTAACAACAAACCTGAAGAATTGCCCATGCAGTTAGCTCACTCCCTTCCAGAAGCGCCACACTTCACTAATTTATGTGTGAAAAAGTGACAATAAGCTGTACCTGGCCTCGGGATGAGGCACCTGCATGCTCACAACACCTCACTCACACAAGACAAGCCTCCTCCCCTCGGTGCCACGTTAACGGTCACACCTGTCCTTACCGTTCTGACTGGAGACGAGAGGCAGCATCGGGTTCCCCAGGAGGACCACCGCCAGCATCACGGCGGTAGGATGCATCGTTAGGGTACCGGGAGGTCTCGGGCGGACAAATGTGGGAGGAGATGTCGTGTTGCTATTAATCACAGGAGCTACAAAGATGGGCCCAGCATAGCACCGGGGTCTTACAATCACTCGGCTGATGAGGAGACCCTAGCGGGGCAGCAGCGGGTGGAAGGTCCGGGACCAGGCCAGCGGCTTCAGGGAAGCCGATGCGCGGCCATCGGCGGTGGAGAAGCCTCGTCGGGACTTACGCAGACGGTGTCTTTGGATGTCAGGGAGATCGTCCACGGCGAGGTTCCGAAGACTCAAAGATGCGCACGCCGATGCGCATTTGCGCCTCCACGGTCACGGCTCGGTGATTAAAATGAAAGTAGCGCACAAATGATTCCCAGACGTCAAGAGATGGAGCCCAAACATGAGTTCGGTATCGGCACCGGACCGGACCGGTCTTTTTTTAATGCCACGGGATGAACAGATGCCAGGGAACCAACGGCAGGCTGCGCGTGCCCAGTGCGCTCACGACGCCGGATGGAAACACACACACACACACACACACACACACACGTGAACTCGTTGTTGCTTTTGTTTATCAAACATTTTCGGTTTATCCATAAAAATCCCAAATGTGACGTCATTTTAATGTGTTGTCGTCACATCTGGATCCACAAATGTTTTACACGCTGCAGAAAAGCCCAAATAAACGGATGAATCCATTAATAATTGGCTAATAAAAAGTGAATTTCTCACAAGTGTGCTTTCCTCTTCTAACTAAAGTGACGTTGTACGGACGCTCAGTGATGTCATTTATAAATGATGTCATCAGTGGCCTTCTCAAACTGCATATTCCATCCCATAAAAGTTCAACATGGCCTCCTGTAGTCCTCTGTCTCTGTCCTGCGCCGCTGCACGAGCGCCCTCATGTGGTCAGTTGAGGTAAACCGATAACTTCCAGCGCGTGACTTGTCCCATTTATCAGGTGACCAGTTTGATTAAATAACACTAATCACTTTATTATTTAACTATCTATAACTTGTATTATGGCTGAACTTTGCAGATCATTAAGTCAAGAATATCTGATCAGTCGTTTTTGGTGCGAATGTGAAACTGCAGGTCAGTTTTTGAGTTTGAAGTGTTCTCCTGAGGTGCACGTCTGCTCCATGCGTGTTTTTCTGCAGAGGACATGCCAGCGCTCAGCTGTAGAACAAACTTCCCTCCACTTCGCAAGCCCTTCCTCCAGTTTATCTGTGGGAGCGCACGTTTAAAATGTAACCCCACCTGAATCCTCCCAAACACCAATCAGCTAGAGAAAGGTCAGCGCAGTCGGCACACCCCCCCTTTGTTCAGGACCAATCAGAGTGGAAGTGTGGCATTTGGCCTGCGGGTAAAACTTACCCCTGGATGAGTTATGTACGCATCACTAAGCTGTTGCCAATGTGTTCCCAACGGTGGACCCTCTTTTACCACGGGTGCCTTCATTCTCCAGTCAGTAGTATGGAAAGTAGACAACAATGGCTCACCAGGCTGAAAAATGAACTTAGCAACAGTCCGCTGGTGTCCAATGTGGCTTTTGGCTTTATCCTCATGGGACTAGAGAAGCTTGTGGAGCTGGAGTTTGAGTGTCCTTGCAGCCCTACATGGAACGGAGTGTTTTCATCCGCGTTCTTCATCATTCCTGCCGTCATGGCCTTCACCTTGATGCTGATCATTCAAGGATGTAGATGCAACACCTGGAGCAGGAAAAGCGTGTCCCTCTCCAGTTTCGTTCCTGCTGTCGTCTGGCTGATCTTGCTGTTCCTCGATGGCCAGTACTTTGCTTGTGCTATGACAGACTGGGAGGGAAGGTTTGTGCTCGTTGACAAGGCAGCTCCGCAGAAGTGGTGCGAGCCAATTAGGGAGGAAGATGTCACCCCGCAAGAACTAATGCTCCGCTCACAGCAGCTGTTTGTGTTTTCTCAGGTGAGGGGATTTCTCTCTGGTCTGCAGGACAACAGCTCCACTTTTAAATGAGTCAAAGGGACAAACCACAGCTGCCAAAATACATCATGGATCCAAAATGGGCCTTCTGTTGTCTAACTTTACTCTTCTGTATCCAGGTAATAGGAATAATCCTCCTTATTTTCATCTGTGTGGGTCTGGTCATTTATGTCATCAGAGAAAGCTGCCAGCGAGAGATGGAGATGCAGGACGCAGACGTAGCCGAGCTCACCGTCCTCAGGATGAGTTCCCTGCGGACCAGGACGTCGTGAAAGGTCTTGAGTGCGCCGGCACAAGCACCTTGTGAATACATCAGTGACAGGACATGACGGATTTCTCCTCTTTCATGAAATGTTGTGCAGCTCCAAATGTTTGAGAAGTCAATCTTCAAGCATCCAGATCAAACGTGTGTGAACACGAGAGAACCCGGCTTCTTTTATCCGGTTTCAGAGAACCCAACAGAGAGAGAGACACCTGTGGTAGATGATGTCTAACGCTGCCATCAAGCTGGTCCACGAAACAGTTTAGTTGTTTTTAATTCCACCGTGTCCAAACAACGGACCGCGTCCGCGTCCTTCAGCTGCAGAGCAACAGTCTTCATCCGTTCTTAGAAAGAGACTCCATCTGTTACCATGACAACAACTTCCTTCCATAAGCTAAGCATACACCTCACCAAGCCCATCTCCATTTTTGTTTGGTCAAACTTCTAACTTTTTGTTTTCATCATGTTTCTAATTTTATTCAGCCTTCGGTGTTTTCTGTATTTTAAAAGGCAGCTAACATGGACCTGACTGTTGGTTTTATTTTGAAATTCATGTGCATGCACGCACAAGAAGAAAATGTTCCAACAAAGTAAAATGTGCTACCGATGCTAATCCCAGCGACACGGAGGTTGTTTTTCACGCCTACAAAGGTGAACGTGCGTACGAGGCCAAGCAGACGGGGATAGAAACATTTTTATTGATGTTTGGTAATAAAAAAAATTCTGTCAGAATAAATTCTGCAGGATTTTTGTGAAGCTGTGATTTTGCAGGTGAGACCAAAGTCCTGAAGCAACACGTGTCTTAAACTACAGTCGTCTGAGAACGGCGTCGTCATTCTCTCATCGAGCAAATTCGCCCCACATTTTAGTCACGATGGCTGCCATGACACTCAGATGAACCCTGGTGGCTTTGGTTTAATTGGGCTGACATGACATGTTTTTATTTGGTGTTTTAACACATTTAAAACATCTACGTTTACATAAAAAGAGCAAACTAGTGAATAAAACATGAGATGGAGAAATATTTACGAATGCTCTGATTTATACAGCAAAGATCTCAGGTGGGCAGACTTTAATTTCATTATGTTACGTTTTCTCGTGGCTCCTTTGGACTTGTGTGTTGTTCCAACTCTGACCACGTGCTGCTCAGAGCAGACTGGCTGGTTGGCCTTCTGGCCTTGAGGAAGCTGTCTTCCCTCGCCTCGGCGTGGACCACAGCAGGGTGTGGTGGGTAAATAAACGCGGATCTCCAGCAGCTCTCCACTTGTTCTCGTCCATTATTTCTAATCAGTTTATTTATTTGCTGCTGATGTTTTTGTTTTATCGCTCTTTTAAGAATTACATCACATTCACAACTAAATACTCGAGAACCGTTTGAGGAGGAAAGTGAACGAAACATTTCCGCCTTATTTTATGTTTAAAATCCGTTTTTTGCACTCAGATAAACCCAAACTACATTTTTTTAAACATTAAAAAGTTAAAAACATTCATGATCAGTCCCTTGTGGACGTTTTGAAAAGCAAACAGACATTCCCAACGGGAGCAGGACGAGACACAAAACTACGTCTGCAGAGTGGTACCTGAGCAGGTGAGCAGCTCCTTTATGGCGCATGACAAACTCCATCCAGCAGGGGGCAGTGTCCATCAGCTGGTCTCCAGCAGCCGTCTGCATGTTCCTCCTGTAGGACCAAGCCCCCCACAATGCGGGCGTGTTTGGAGAGGGGTCTGCAGCTAGCCGTGTGTCTGAATCCAGAGGAAGGATGCTTGTAAGAGCGCATTTTGAGGTCGATGACGTCAAAGCGCAGCGACGAGTACTGTCCGAATTCCAAGAATACTCATTCTCAGAGACCGGAGGAAGATGGTGGAGCGGGCAGCCGAGAAGTAGCATGCTCTGAGTAGCTAACCCTGAATTTATAGCAGATGTAGCTCTATGTAACTCACAAAACTACCTAATACCTGTTTCCTAAGCAAGAACTACTCTCAAACGCGCCTTTGACCGTCACTGGAACACTTTGGAAGTTACTCCGGTTGCATGCTGAAGAATGGCTAACAGCAAAGCTAACAGTAAAGCTATCAAAGTAGAGCTGAAACAACTAATCGATTTAATCGATTATAATCGATTATTAAAATAGTTAACAACTTTTTTAGTCATCGATTAGTTGTTTAATAATCACATTTTACAGCATAAAGTCTATTTTACCACAATCTGACATCGGTTACAATCTGTTAAATTTGCCGCCAGTGTGTGGCAGTAATGAGCCACTGATCTACCAGTGGAGCCGTAGAAGAAGAAACGAGCCAATAAGTGCCCTCGGTTTTCATGACGTAACACGTCACTGACGCGCATCTTGCTGTGAGAGATGGTGGAACAAGAAGAAATACGGAAGAAAAACAGAAGCGACAAAACTGAAGAGAACCCCCGGACAAAAACCTCACGAGTATGGGAGCATTTCACTCTAGATGCCATGAAAAGACAGGTGACCTGCAAGATATGCAAAAACCATCTAGCATGGCACGGAAACACGACGTCCCTAAGTGAACATTTGAGACGAAAACACGTGGGGGCTGATGCAGCAGAGGAAAGTCCGGTGAATCCGGTAAGTAACAGAAAATAAACAAGCTAACGCAGACCAAATTTGGGAGCTGAGTTCGTTATACTGGATGTTAAACATGTTTTTTGCCGCGTCAGTCTGCGGTGTTCTACTTCTCACTGACTAGATGCAATCGTGAATCTCCTCCGTGTTGTGAATCATGCGCTTGCCAAATTTAGCACGTCTGTTTATAAGAATGTTCTCGTTAAGAGAAAAACGGCACAAACCCATAACTATGTTCCTCATTCAAAAAAGGACAACTCCGCGGAGAAAAATATACAGACGAGCTGTGTCCAGGTGAATATAACGTGGCATAGTTGTACGCTTTCAATTTTTAAATACAGGAGAAATTCAGAAAGTAATTTTTTTACTATTAAAAGGCTGTTTTACTGTCTAACACTGTAAAACGCCTCACAACACATTTTTGTCAAAATAAATGATCACTGTATATTGTTAATTAATTCAAATAATATAATATTGATTTAGTGTTGTAGTGTTTGTGCTGCTTTATTTTATATGTGTACTTATTTCAGTCTATTTGTGTTTCTTATGCAGAAAAAAACAAGCAACGATGGACAACTACATGGGGAACAAGACACTCACCCCCCAGCAATGCATACCACTTACAAACTCTATTCTAGATTCTACATTATTTTTTATGG